GTGTTAGGTAATCAAAAGAAAAGAACATGTTCAGCATTTCTCAAGCTGAGAGAACTGAAGAAAACATTCAAACCTTGACTTGCAATGTTGAAGGATTCTACAGATAAATTTAGGCAAATCTGCTGCATAAGACCTTTTTAAAGTGTTGAAGAACAAAGATGTCAGCTTTAAGACTAAGGTGTGCCTGACCCAAGCCATGGTATTTTCAATAACCTCATATGCATACGAAAGCTGAACAGTGAATAAGGAAGACCGTAGAAGAATTGATGTTTTTGAGTTGTGGTGTTGGAGGAGAACATTGAAAGTGTCATGGGCTGCCAAAAGAACCAACAGATCCATTTTGGAAGAAGTGCAGCCGGAGTGCTCCTTGGAGGCCAGGATGGCCAAACTTTGTCTCTCATACTTCGGACATATTGTCAGGATGGACCAGTCACAGGAAAAAGATATCATGTTTGGAGGGTCAGAGAAAAAGAGGAAGACCCCCAGTGAGATGGATTGGCGAAGTGGCAGCATCAATGGACTCAAGCATGGCAACAATAGTGAGGTTGGCCCAGGATCGGGCAATATTTTGTTCTGTTGTGCATAAGATTGCTATGAGTCGGTACCAACTCAATGGCACCTAACAACAACAACAACATGGGCAAAATATTGAAAGATGCAGAAAGCATCAAGAGAAGATGGAAGGAATATACAGAATCACTGTACCAAAAGGAAATGGTTAATATTCAACCGTTTCAAGAGGTAGCATATGATCAAGAGCCAATGATAGTGCAGGAAGAATTCCAAGTACACTGAAGGCATTAGCAATGAATAAGGTGCCAGGAATTGATGGAATACAAATTGAACTATTTTAACAAACATGCAGCACTGGAGGCACTCACTCACCTATGCCAAGAAATTTTAAAGACCTGGCCAACTGATCTGAAAAGAGTGTTCTGGAACACTTAAACATGCTCATGAGGAACCTGTACGTAGACCTAGAACAGTCATTTGAACAGAGCCATAGGACACTGAAGGGTTTAAAATCAGAAAAAATGTACACCTGTGTTGTATTGTCTCACCAAATTTCTTCAATCTATGTGCTGAGAAAATAAATCTAGAAGCTGGATTATATGGGGAAAACAAAGTGGCATCAGTATTGGAGGAAGGATCATTAACAATCTGCAATATGCAGATGATACAACCTTACTTGCTGAAAACAAAGAGAACTTTAAATACTTACTGATGAATATCAAAGACCACAGCCTACCGCATGGATTGCACTTAAATGTAAAGAAAATTAAAATCCTCACAAATGGACCAATAAATAATGTGATGAATGGAGAAAAGATTGAAGTTGTCAAAGACTTCACTTCGCTCAGATCCACCATCAATAGTTATGGAAGCAGCAGTCAAGAAATCTAACAACATATTGCAATGGGCAAAACTGCTGCACAAGACTTCTTTAAAGTGTTCAAGAGCAAAGATGTCAGTTTGAAGACTAAAGTGTGCCTGACCCAAACCGTGGTATTTTCAATAGCCTCATATGTATATTAAAGTTGGACAATGAATAAGGAAGACCATAGAAGCGTTGATGCATGTGACTTATAGTATTGGAAAAGAATATTAAAGGTAGCATGGACTAATAGAAAAGCAAACAAATCTGTCTTGGAAGAAATACAATAGGAATGCTCCTTAGAAGTCAAGTTGGCCAGATTTCATCTCTCATATTTTGGACATATTATCAGGAGGGATCAGTCCCTGGAGAAGGGCATCATGCTTAGTAAAGTAAAGAGACAGAGAAAAAGCAGGAGGCCCCCTACAAGATAGATTGGCACAGTAGCAGCAAAAATGGGATCAAGCATAGTAGCAATTATGAGAATGGCACAGGAGC